GTTAGCAGCGACTGTTGTGCGCAGCCGGAAGAAACACCCACCCGCACCCGCACGGAGAGTCCGCAGTGTGGGACGCCCCGCAGAAATCAAAAATAATACAAAACAAATTCATAAGCACCTCGCTTACCGTCTCCCCCGCCCAGCCCCTTCAAACCCTGCAGCGGCAACACGCAGTGCGCATACCGGCGGGATCTCCCATCACGGCCCCCACAAAACCCCCAACGCCGCCACTTCCCTTAGCGCACTGCAGGAGGAGTGGGGCGCAACGTCAAAAATGAAATTGAAAGAACAATAAAAGCAATACAAAATAAACGGGGCACGCAGCACCACCACGACAAGACACACGCAGCAGATGCCTTCCCTCTGCGGTCACAAAAACAAACTCTCGCAGCGGCACCGCTACCGACAAACCCAAATGCAATCGCCCGCCTCCCAGGCGCACCGCGGTGCTCGTGGAAGTGAAGCACCTCAAAGAGTCTCAGGGAAAAACAAGAAACCGCTTCAACCACCACGCACGGCACGTACGCCTCCATACGACGTCGCCACCCGGCACTGACGCACCTTCCGGCCCAAAAATGCACCGTGTTCTCCTCCTCTTTACGCTGAGCAGTATTCAGGGCGCGACGGCGTCACACACCCGCCACGTGTGTTGATTGGCGCACTCGCAGCGTGCCGCACGTCAATAATTTCCCTCTCGACAACTCGTCAACGAAAGTTTCCCCATTTTATTAAATACACCTCGTCGTGCACTCACCGAACTGCCTCATTGTGCCACCGCCGCCGCAGCAACCTGCGGCCCAACCGCCCTCCACCGTCAACACCCACAGCACCCCGTACTTCCAACCCACATGCGCAGGGTGCTACTCGCGCTGCGGCAATACAGCGGCCTCGGTGGGGTGCCCCATTTACGGTCCTGCGTGCAGCGCACACAACCGTCGCCGGTGCCAGCCTGCTGCAGACAGCCGCTTGTGTTGGGGCTGTGTCTTGCCGACAGAGAGATCCTGCCCGTATGATTGCGACCACAGGCCGCGTCGCTAGTTCCTTTGACAAACAGAAATCCCGCAGCTCCACCAATACGTGTATATATTATATATACACATCATACCCCCTCCCATGTTCGTTGCCGGCTGTTATTTTATTTCATCTGCCAGTTTCTCTCACCCATCGGTGCGCCGAGAAACACACCTCGCCGTCACACCTCCCTATGCCACCGGGGGGACGTCTTCACCACTCCGTGAAATGCGCCCTCGCCGCACCACGGCTGCATGCCCAATCCCAACGAAAAGAATAATTCCCAGCACCCGAAAAGGCAATCAACCCCACGGCACCCACCGCCGCAAAGAACCAACCAAAAAGACTCACGGAAAATGTCATGAAACAAAATAATAATAATAATAAAATATGCCTCCAGATGAGGCCATATGGCTCCCACTCCTAAAAAGCGAAGGATGCACAATGGGGGAATCGCAGTTTGGCTCGGTGGGCCCCACAACCACACGACTCCCTTCCGCATTGGAGGGTGTCATTATTACCATCAGTTGCAGTGGGTGTGTGTGGCGTGGAAGAACTGAGAATAAAAAACACTCGCGCTGCTCCCCAACGCGGCATCGCTGAAAGCTAAAAATCAAGTCATCCGCAAAACAAGCAGAGGAGCCACACAAAACCTTCTGTCGTCTGCTCAGCCTCAGCGGGTGGCACACTCCCCCCACCGCCTTCTCTCAGCAAAGCACCCCACCCCCGACGCAATACACACGAGGAAGCCGCCACTCCACACACTACACCAACCACAACAATAATAATACAACTCGCCTCTCCCCCACTCCCAGCCATGCCGCCGCCCTTCCTTCCCCACCAAGAAAGAAACGCACTAAAAGAATGTCTTGAAACGACACAAACCCATACAGCATCATGTAACTCAACACACAAGCAGGGCGGAGGAGTCCCAAACACACCCCACGCCCCCGTCACTTATCCTGAGTGGTCTGCGCTGCCAGCAACAACCAGCTGGACAGCCAGCTCCGTGTCAAGCTGCACCTGGTACTGTTCCACCTTTCTCTCCCAAAAGTCTCTGGCAACCTGAAGTCTCGGCACCTCCTTTTCTCCCTCCGTGACATGGCAATCCCGCCTTCCCGTCATTGGCGTGCTCTCAGCGTGCTGAATGTAAATGATCTCCCACTTCATCTTTTCCCTCAGCGCCTCCCAGCCCTTGAAGTTGCACGTCATGTAATTCAGAAACGCAGCCACCTTACCGGCAGTGGTGTGGTGGGTGCTGTGTTTTGCCACCTGCAGCCCAATGAACGTCACTTCACTCTCCGCACCGCTGTGCCCATCGGTGCCAGCATTTCGGGACTGCCCAAATTTATTTATTTTTTTCTTGGCAGTTTGCGCTCGTTGCACCTCGGCCACGTAGAACGCGTCCAGCACGGTGACAAAACACTTGTTGGGCATATACAGAACGCCAGCTTAAAGTTTGGTCTGGATTATTACCCTTCTATTATCTCCACCTGCCATGTACTTGAGCAGGTACAGCCTGCTTGGAAAGCGGCCCACCGCATGCCCGTTCGCCAACACGCTGGCCCGCGTTACTCCCTCGCTGCGGGAAGGTGATTCACCTTGCGAGCAACCGCTTCGGCGACGTCGCTAATCAGAAACGCCACGCAGCCCAAGCACTCAAGATCATCAGCAGCAGACCTACTCCACGTTCCCACAACAGACAGCAGGCGAGACATTTTAAAGTTCTCCATTAGCACCCGCCTCCGCAATGTTCTTTTTGACCTCAACTGAAACGGGAAAATTCCTGCAGCTTTCTGCATCCCCTCCACTCCCCGCATTGGGCCTCACCACCACCGCTGACGCATCCCTCACCACGCGCTCCTCCTCAACACACGCACCACCTTCCTGCACACAAATGCATCCACGTAATCTGGCAAAAAAAAAATTTGCGCGGCCACGCAAACGCAGATCTAAGCACAATAAACTCCAGCCGCACACCACGGATCTCCTCCTCTTCACGCTCCTCAATCTTAGGTGTGACGTCCGCCTCACCCCCACTCTCACTCCACAATATCTGAGGCCTGCTGGAAGCGGCGTCCACCACCCTCATCCCAAGCGGCTCCGCAAAGTGGCCCGACTCCACGTAAGTCCCACGTTGCATTCAACACCGACCGGTAGGCCCTCTCATCCAAAACCACAGTTGCAGCGATTGCCCGCCTTATTTCTTCCTCCTCTACCCGTTTAAGAGCTGCTTCGACTCTGCCTTTTGTACGAAGGGGAACCGTATCCTTCTGTCCAAATTCCTTCCATTGATTGATAAAAAACACACCTTTCTCTGTGAGCCCTCGTGCATCTTCAAAAAACTGATACCCTGGTGGAATCGAGGATTTCCTCACGACGCCTCTGCTCTGTAACGTATTCTGCGGGCTGCTGCACAAACACCTCCATCACCACATTTTGGTCTTCACCCACCGCTCTGTTGGGGCCAACGTACTGCCAAAGGAAGTCGTTCAGCAAAATTATATTGATTTGGCCAACCCGCACATTACGGGCATCCTCGATAGAGCTTGCAAGCGTCTACCTTGACCGCTACGGTGCTCCTTCCACCCTTCGGCGCTGCGTGAGAGCTCCTCGGTGGCGTGAGATTCTCCCTCGCGTCTCTCAGACATGTTTTCCTTCATAGTGGTTAACTTGAGCTGAACTGCAGCACAATACAAACAACCAGCAGTCAAAAGGGAGAATGAAATTATTTTTTTTAAAAAAACAGGCAGAGACACGACTCCACGCAGCCGCAAAAAAAAGAGAGAGGCCACCCACACACGGCACGCGGCGCACACCTCACACACACACACAAACACGCACAGGCACCCCCAATCCCGCACACAACGCAAGCGTGATGCATCACGGCACCCTCCCACACAAACAACGAGGGCAAATTAGATCTCCCTAGGCAAACCGTGCAAATTGCACGGCACACACAACAACTGCGACGAGGTGTCTCTCTTCTTCTCGTATTGCACTTTACATCCGGATCCCCACAGCTCTGTGTGTGCGTAGTCACACGCAAATATTACCCACTCACAGTGAAATTGACTGGCTCGTCGCGGTGGCATTTTGCGCTGCAAATCGCTGAGGTGCAAAGAAACACAACACCCACCCCGCCGGCCACACGCCCACACACGGGAAGTGGGCACGCATCCATCGAATGACGCGGCACCCGCACCGCACCACCAGCACCAACTACGAAGGAATCATCCACGTGCCCTGCGGTATGTAAATGCACCGTGGGCAGTGTGGCCGTGTGTGTGTGTGTGCCTGCAGCTACGCAACGCAAAGAGGGAGAAGAGCAAAGCATGAGAGAGGGCACACGCAGAAACACACACGCAGCAGAGACGCGGGACGGAAAGGCGGCGAACGGAGACAACTGAGGCTGGAGGTGGCGCCGCAGCCCAAGCGCCAGCCACGG